CCAAGTTCGAGGTGCAGCTGGTAACTGGCCAAGAGGGTCTCCTCTCCCTGAGCATGACACATGGCTTTCTCACGGCAGCATGGAACCAGGGCAGGGGTTCCTGTAGGGAGGCCTCTGTGAGGTGCTTGGTGGGCCCCTAGGGGAGGGAGTGCTGTCGTGGCTGCAGGTAATTGGGGTCTCTATGATGTGTATTGGTGTCTCTGGATCCTGGTTCCATCTCTGTCCCATTCTTTGGATCTTTCTCACTGTCCTCTGCCGAGTCTTCCATTCTTGGGGCCCCTGCCCACCAACCCCCTGGAGTCTGTCCCTCCCTCTGGGTGTCTGCCTCTGTTTTTTTCTTTACTGTCCTGTCTTGTTTCTCCCTGTCTTCCATTCCCCATTTCTCCTTCATTGTTCTTCCCTCTTGCCCTGCTTTCTAACCTCTCTACCTGTTGGCCCTGACTCTGAGCTCTGAGACCCTCCCTCTTCCCTGCTGCTTGCCATAGGCCCTGGTGCTGCCCACCCCACGTCCCTACGTGCGGGCTGATGGTGCTGTGGCCCCCGACCACTGGCTCGATCCCAGCGCTGTGTGGGAAGTGAAGTGTGCGGACCTCTCCCTCTCCCCCATCTACCCCGCTGCCCGGGGCCTGGTGAGTACAGGGGCCTGGGCGAGAGTGGGCCTGGCCACATCTGTTCTCCCACGTGATGGTTAAGAAAGCTTTAGAGTATTGGGGTGTTCAGTAATGAGGTTGGAAATCATTTCTGTAAAAAAAGATTCTCAGGTGGTAGAAAGAAAAGTGACCTTGCTCCATTAGGGTCGTGGTCCTTTTGGCAACTTGGGTCTTCTGCGTGGACACTCAGTCCAGCCCCAGGCATCTCCTTTCAGGCCCACAGTTGCTTCCTCGCCCGGGTTCTCACAGTGCTGAGTGTAGATCCCAGGGGCGCTGTTGCTCCCTGGGTTCTGCCCTCAGAACCAGCAGTGGTTGCAGTGTGACCACGTCCCTTACCCTTAGTGCAGGGAAGCTCACCTTTAGTGTCGTGCTGCGAGTTTCATCCCATCCTCAGAACCTAGCGGCATGTTGCTGTTAGAAACTTAAAGTTTCTCCCTCATGCTGCTCATTGAGTCAGGGTGTCCTGGTCACACACACAAGGAGCTTTCATCTGTCCTGTGCTCACTGTGCAGCCAGCACTGTGCTGGTGACCAGCATGTCCCTCATGTAGTCCTTACAGAAACGTCCACAGGAATGTCTTCATTTTACACACCAGGAGATTGAGCCTCCGAGAGCTGAGGTGACTGGCCAAGGCCACCTGGCTCTGAGGGCAGCAGCTGGATGGGAGTCTCACATGGGCCTGGCAGCTGGTGCCTCTGAAGCACCAGGCACAGGATCCAGACTCTTCCTCAGCTGCTCTGTGCCCCCCCTCCCCCCATTGCTAAGCTCCACTGTGTGGATCAGGAAGCAGCAGGACGGGGCAGGAGGAGGACCCTGGCTAGAGTACCTGAGCCTTGCCTCCTCCCCAGGTGGACAGCGAGAAGGGCATCTCCCTTCGCTTCCCTCGGTTTATTCGTGTCCGTGAAGACAAGCAGCCAGAGGAAGCCACCACCAGTGCCCAGGTGAGACCCTTGGAAGATGGGGTTTGCCTAGGGTGGGCTCGTGTGGCCAGACCAGCCTCTTAGGGAGGTGACTGGCTTGGACTGCAGAGGTGGGGCAGCAGGGAGTTGCTGACCCACCCCTGCCCCCTCCTCAGGTGGCCTCTCTGTACCTGAAGCAAAGTCAGATTCAAAATCAACATGACACAGACTCAGACTCCAACCCTGAAGATTTCTACTAAGGCCTGGCCTCCCCGGGGCTGGGGAGGAGCCCAGGGTGGAGCAGGTCTGCTTCCCCACTCTGGTGGGGGGGATGGGGGGTGTTACACTGGGTCTGGGATTCATTCTGTTATTTCTTTCAATAAATAATTACCAAACTCTTGGTGTGTGACAAGGGCCATGCTGAGCTCTGGGCTCTCACACTGGGCATTGAAGAATACTATGGGGACTGGGAGCCCATGCTGTCCCACAGGACCCTCCATAGAGCTAGTGGAGTTTGTGTGCTCCATGTCATATGGTGACAGCTGACAGTCACCTGTGGCCATTGAGTTCTCCTCATGGGGACAATGCAATCAAGGACTCAGATATTTCATTTTGACTATGACAGTTTATGTTAGCTTGTTGGATCTCCAAGCAATCCAGCTGGTGGTCCCTGTCCCAAGCCCTGTGTGCAGACATCAGTGATTTACCCAGGAGCCTTTCTAATGAGGTCTCATCCTCCTGGGAGACAATAAGTTCAGTGGTCAGTGTGTGGCTTCCAGTTCTGCACCCCCATCTGGGGACTAAGTGTCATTTCAGATGCACTACACAGTGTTCCAGGTACCCCACCAGAGCAAGCAGTGACCACTCCTGTTTGGGCTGTTATGCTCTGGACCCAGGCTTGGAGCCTGGCATATCCTAGCTGCTCAGGAGATCATGGCTGAGTGAGAGAGAGCTGGGCATTGTTGCTAGGCTGCTGGTCACCCCAGTTTCCCCATCCTCCCACCACTGCTGTGTGCTTCAAGCATAGAGGCCCCTGGCCTGTGTATAGACACTTGGAGCTGGTCATGGTGGCCCTGTGCAGTTCCACAAGGCTTCGGTGACACAGGCCAGAAGTGGGACTTTGGTCAGTGCAGTGGGAGTATCTTGGGACTAAGGGGAGGAATCTTTTGCAAAAGCTTGTTTTCTGAGAACTGTAGCCTGCCACCTTCTGGGGGACTTGCAGCTGTCTTGTGGCAACCAACTGGAGGAGGGTGGAGCAGGGCCCAGATCTGCACACCTGGGGCCTCTCTGTGGCCACCAAGCTGAGGGACAATGAAGTTCCCCATTGTTAGGCAGCTCTCGGGTGGGTCCTGCTTGCTGCAGTTGGAGGCACCTTCAGGGCTGCTGTGATGGTTAGTGAGGCAGGGAGAGGAGGGCTTGGGGCCGAGGAGCTCAGCAGGGTCCTTGGCCTGGATTCTCTCGAGAGCCTGTGGTGAAGGCCTGAGCCAGGGCCTTCCTGCCTGGCCCGTCAACTCCTGCACTCTTCTCACTAACGACGGCCCTGCAAGGTGGGTACATCCATATCTCCATTTAACAGGTCGGTACACTGAGGCTTGCGGGGAGTTGCTTTCCCTGTCTCACTATCTGGGAAACGGCCAGGATTTGCCTGGGTGGTCTGCTCCAGGCCCATGGTCTCTGCCATGGAGAGCCTTGGGTGCACCTGTGAGGATGTGGGACCTTCTGCCATGGCACCATGTGAAGTGGTCAGGTCTGGAGGGGAGAGATCTTGCTCATGTGCTCACTAAAGGCAGGAGCCTAGAGGTGGGGGAGCAGTGGAGACCATCTCCCTCCAGAGTGGGATCCTCTTTATCCCTTCAGGATTGTCACCACTCACCAGGGTAGGGTGCCTATGAGCTGGGCTCTGGGTGATGCACATGCCAGGTTTGGAGGCGGCACACCAGGAAGCAGCACTCCGTGCTCAGGACCTGCCTTGACCAGAACACAGGGTCCCATCACATGACCACAGGTGTCAGAAACATTGCTGGGAGCTCCCAGCAAAAAGTAGTTCACACTGAATGGAGTTCCCTGGAGTTTTTGATATCGGAGTGGTGGTTGGTTTTCTTCCTAAATGGAAATAAAATGAGGTAGATGTGGCCCTCGGTGTCTGGCGCATTACCTCATTTAATTCACTCCACAAATCTGTCGTGTTAGTACAGTTATGATCTTTTATTTTTCAGATAAGAAAACACTTGTCACTATCAGGATTTGGTTGCCAGCTACAAAGCTCAGCTAGTAGGAGGTAGACTGAGATTTGGCCAGGACTCTCAGCCTCCTAGGCTCTGCCTTTACCTGTGCCATCAACAAGTCAGTCCCTGCTTCGCATAACATATTTTCTCCAACCTCCTCCCAGCTCACTGTGGGCAGAGATCAGTGAGTCCTCTGCTCCCTCAACAGCTAAGGGGTGACGAGGCTGCTCATTCAGGGAAGTGCCCACTTTGCAATTCCATCTTATCTGGAGCGTGGCCTCACCAAGGCCCTTATCATGACTTACCTGGGGGTGGCAGAGCTGTCCTGGGCACAGCGCCAGTCTGCTTCAGTGTGAAAGTTCCCTGCTCTTTAGCAACAAAAAAGTCAACAGCTCGGGTCACTACAGTGGTGCTCAGTGTTGGGCAAGTGAGGGGGTTGGTGCTGCTTCCCTGGCTGATTCTCCTAAGCCAAGTAAGCCCTCGCCAAAGGGTCCAGAGAGTTGGGACAGCAAAGGTTTTATGTGCCAGAAGACCTTTCTCCAGAATGGGGGCCATTTGAAGTAGAGGGAACTTTATCTTTGGGTCTTGGAGACCAAGTGTGTGTTGAAGGAAATCTTCTGAGACAAGCCACACAGGGCGCTTATCAAGGAGACTGCTCAGGAGACCGCAGAGCCAAGAGCTCATCTCAGGTGGGTTTGGAGAAGCAGAGAGGTTAGAGTCTGTCCAGATGTGGGAGAGTTTGGAAACTGAGGAAGTTCAGCTACACAGTGAGGTCCCCAGAGTGGCTGTGCTGATTGGCCAATCTTCAGGTGTGTGGCACTTCTCTTGTTGCTGGGCATTTGTTGACCTGGGGCTGCTTTTAAAGCAGATCTGGTGGGAACTGGACACTGTGGCCAAAGTCCAGTTTGTCTTTTCCTTTGAGAGTAGGGACTTTCAGTTTCCATTAAGAATCAGGGGTCTGCATTCAGGAGCTGAGTTTTGGGGCATGTCCTGTGTCTCCCTAAGCCCTCAGTTTTCTGATGTGTAAATTGGGGACAATCAAGTCCACATTACAGGCTCTGTGACATTTCAGTGGGATGGTGCCCATATCCATGTCCAGCACTTAGAGGGTGTGGCTGGTACATTGTTCTTGGCCTGTGGCCCTCAGAGGTCATTCAATTTCTGCTTTTTATTTTCTTCTCTACAAAATACAAACAAAAGTACTTTTTTTTTTTTTTTTTTTTTTTTTTAACCATTTGAGAATTCAATGAGTCACACATAAAAGGCACCTAGAATGGTGCTGTCCCAGATTGGCCATTAGGAAATTGTTAGCCCTGGGCCATCCATGTTGCTGGTTGAACTGTGAGTCCCACTCAATGCTGGAACATTGAGGAGGTGGCAGTATTGTCTTTGAGAAAACAGAGTGTCTGTCCTAATGAAGCAGGAAGAAGCCAAAGTAAACCCTCTGGTTTTGCTTGCTTTTATTTGACTTTGAAAATCGACAATTTTGGAAGTCACACGACTGAGCAGTGTCATGGGTCTCCCAGTGTCGTTGAGCTCTGTGTGGACAACGTCTTTCCTCATAGAAAGTCCCTGTGCCTCCCCAAGCACACTGCCTCCCAGCCCTCCCCAGGCCTCTCTCATTGATCATTTCAGGAATGTTTCTTTAAAACTAGCAGCACAACATTGATTTACCCAAAACTCCCCTAATCTCCCTCCCACCCTTTAAGACTGATGGTTCAAGATAATAATCAGCTGTTCTCCAGATCCACAGATGACCAGCCAGCAGGTTTGGTGAGACCCCCTTCCAGATCACCAGAGAGGGGCCTAGAAGCACAGTCTCAATCATTTCCTGATGTAAATCCTCTTCATTTCTCCTAAAGATAAAAGGATCTCAAGGCCTGTGCTGAGTTAGATCATTTCCCAAGATGCTCCCCAGAGGGATCTTCAATTCCCTTTATTGTGGGACAACTAGGGAAAAGGTCAAGGTTCAGGGGTCTGAGCCATGTCATTGGACTCTACAGCTGGGGCACCTGCTACCCACCCTCTACCCAGTGTTCACAGCTCCCATTCCTGATGTTACCATCTTGTGGGGTGAATGTCTACCCACTACTTTAGGGGAGTTCCATTTGTTATGGGCCAAACTATATGTGCCTTGGCCAGACAAATCCATCTTACCGTGAGACTACATTTCATAAAAGAAATACTTCTCACATGAGAAAACCCAGCCTATGTGACCCAGTTCTTGTTAAAGACACCCTGTTTGGCAACACATAACGGCTAAAAATGTTTCGATCTAATGGCTAAAAATGTTTCGACCACTGAGCCACAACCCCAAGCCCTATTTTGTTTTTTATTTAGGGACAGAGTCTCACTGAGTTGCTTAGTGCCTTGCTGTTGCTGAGGCTGGCTTTGACCTAGAGATTCTCCTGCCTCAGCCTCCTGAGTCTCTGGGATAACCAGCATGCACCACTGCACCAGGCTCTGTTGTTCTTATAAAATGTATTACTAAGAAATACTTTTTGGCTGTATTCAGTGGTGCACACCTGTAATCTTAGTGGCTCAGGAGGCTGAGACAAGAGGATTGAGAGTTCAAAGTCAGCCTCAGCAAAAGCGAGGCATTAAGCAACTCAGTGAGACCCTGTCTCTAAATAAAATACAAAATAGGGCTGGGGAAGTGGCTTAGTGGTTGAGTGCCCCGAGTTCAATCTCCAGTACCCCCTGCCCTCAAAAAAGAAGTGCTTTTATAAGGTTGTGGATGTTTTTTGTTGTTGTTACCAGGGATTGAACTCAGGGGCACTAGACCACTGAGTCACGTCCGCAGCTTTATTTTGTGTTTTATTTAGAGACAGAGTCTCACTAAGTGACTAGTGCCTCACTTTTCCTGAGGCTGGCTTTGAACCTCCTGCCTCAGCCTCCCAAGCCACTGTGATTACAGGCCAGTCTGAGCAACTCAGAGTAACCCTGTCTTAAACAAATAAATAAAGTGCTGGGGAGGCCCATGGGTTTAATCTCTAGGACAGTGAAACAAATAAAAAAATAATATCTATTTCTCAGTGATACTCAGTAAATCTGCGAGAAGAAAAGATTACTGGCAGCAAAACATGAGCAAATATCTGAGAGAATTCTAAAAAACAAGAGGAATTGGGGGTGTGGATGGGGACATGGAGTTTGCCCTGTAAGAGAGTTAAAATACATAGCAATTATTTTACAGTACGACGCTGTCCCGAGTGCTTAGAGTCCATGTGGTTTCAGGTTTCAGAATCTATTTTAATTGTAGGTTGGGCTTTTTCAAGTCAGCCTGGAGGCAGTTTCCAAGGGTATACCACACCCAGTTGACCCAGGCAGGTGGCCAAAGAGAAAGGCCTTTCTCCTGCCTGATTGGCTCCGCTCTGGCTTCCTCTTGGCTCCTTTAAGTGTGGGGTTCAGGCATTTCCCCTGTCTTTGCTTCGCACTGCTGGTTGCTGTTCTCTCCACTCTACTGAGCTCAGGGTCTGCTGGGCACCCCACAGTCTGTAAGTACCCAAAACTTAAACTTTCCCCTTGTGATTACGTCATGGAAGCCAGCCAGCAAACCCACCCTGCAGGGTGGGCCCCCCTGGGAGGAGCTTACAGGTAAGTGATGGAAAACTCCGAAGAATTTCATTCTTAAAAGGCACTAGCACAGGAAGAGATCAACTGGTAAAACAGAATTTCAAAATACTAAGCCAAGTTTTAAACATTCTACATGGCGTATGGGAGCCCTGTCACCCTGCTGGTCCCCAACCGTTAGTCCCCAACTCCCCTGGTAATTCCTTCCACACAGTTGATTTTACCCACAGAATTTTGTCTTTTTTTTTCATCCAGTTCCTGCCATGGAGGAGGAGGGTGTTCAGTGGATAAAAGGACACAGGGAGGCTGGCAGTGACCCATATGGTGACCCACTGCCAAGGTCTCTCGCAGCTGGTATCTTAGCAGGACATGCAGGGACATGAGATGTCCTCACAGGGGCCTTTCACACAAAAGGGACTTCAGGATTAGGACAAGGCCAGGACTGATGGGGGGTCAGCCAGCTGACTTTGCAACGCTGGGGTGTGTGGTCTCACCAAGTCACCTACCCTGCTCACCAGGGAGTGATAGTGTCCTGTACCTTCAGGTAGATGGTGGACAGATGTGGGAGCACAATGACAGTAGACCCGGGATGTGTGTGGGCTGTGCTCCGGGTGGGCAATGGCTACAGAAATGACAGGTGTGCTCAAGACACACCTTGGCCTCTGGCTTAGCTTCATCCTGAGAATGTCCATGTTACTGTAGATGGTTTGAGAGGACCTCTGTCCTGTGGGTTGAGGAACAGGCCATTAACTGACAAGAACACACTTGGCCCAAAGCCAGGGAGCCCGATGACAGTTCCCCCAAAGGGTTTTCAGCAAATTTACCAGAGGACTGAGTTACCCTCTCTCCCTCCCGCCACCCACCCCAGGTCTTTGCTGGGTACCGGGATGTTGGTTAGGCAACGAAGCACGCAGGGAAGACAGCTCCAGGATCTGATCTGTTCTAGGGAACCTTCATCTGGAATCGTGCCCCCAGCTAGAGGTCCCTCCAGAACCCAAACCGTCTTCTTCAACCTGTTTTCAAACGGGAAGTGGGCGTGCAGCGATCAAGGAAAACATTTCAAATAAAATAGAGGCCATTGCACAAGATGAGCCACGGGCAGCCCTGCACATCATCCCCACACAATGAAAACAGGTGAGTCACATGCAATTTAATGCTTTGTAGCTGTATTGTAAAAAGTAGAGGGAAATAGGTGGCTGGTGTTAATTGTTTTGTCTACTTAGTTTTTTATTGCAGAAAAATACAGGCGCCATAAAATTGCCCCTTGTAGCCATTTTAAAGTGAATCATCTGGTGACACTGAGAACATACCAATGTGGTCCAACCACCGCCCCCACCTCATTCTGGGCATTTTTGAAGCTGAGTCTGCACCATGGAGTGTCACTCATTGCTTTCCATCCCAACCCTGGCACCTGTGGGCGGCTTCCTGTCTCTGGATCTGCCTGTACAGGTGGATCACGCAGGATCTGGCCCTTGTCTGCGGTGGGGTTTCCAACCTGGGCCACAGGTTCTTCAGGGCTGAGCCATGTCTCCACGTGTGGCTGGAACTCACTATGCTCAGTTGTCACTTGGTAGACTTTTGGGTTGTGTTCCTCTGTCAGTTGTTACGGGAAGTGCTGCTGTGAACGCGGGTACACACTTTTTTCAGGAACGCCTATTTCCAGGTCTTTTCACTGTGCACCTGGGAATGAAGCTGCTGGACCATGTGGCAATTCTGTTCGACACTGGGCGCTGCTAAGCTGTTTCCACTGTGGCTGCACCTTGCCCTTTCTTTCTTTCTTTGGTACCAGGAATTGAACTCTGGGGCACTCGACCCACATCCCAGTCCTATTTTGTATTTTCTTTAGAGACAGGGTCTCACTGAGTTGCTTAGCGCCTTGCTTTTGCTGACTGGCTTTGAACTTGCCATCCGCCTGCCTCAGCCTCCAGAGCCCCTGGGATTTCAGGGGTGCATCGCCATGCCTAGCCATGCTATTAATCTTAATAATCTCCTGAAGAATTCCCTTGGTATCTACAAGGGACTGGTTCCAGGACCACCATCAACCCCCCAAAATCCCTGAATGCTCCAATTTAGTTTATGAAATATAATATAATTAATAATAATATAATGTAATCATAATCATTCCCAATGACTCCAAAGCCTGATACAATGTAAATGCTGTCACCTTGTATCTTCAGGGAATAATGGCAAGAAAAACATATATACATCCTCAGTTTCCCCTGTGTCTGACCTGAGGTTGGTGGAATTTGCAGACGTGGAGCCTGCCGATGCTGAGGGCTAATTGAATTTATACTCATTTGATCCAAAATATTGTAATTGTAGGGAGTCATCCCTGAGAGAGTTGCGGTTCTTTGTTTTGCCTGTTCCGTGTGCTCTCTGCACCTTTGCTCCATCACCTCCCGGTTGGTGGCTGGTGGCTACCCCTGGCCGGTGTCATGCTGGATAAACTGGATAGTATTATTCATTTTCTCAGGGCGAAAATTCTCAGGTGTTTTGTTCCTTTTCCTCCCTGTCAGCTCTGGGGTTTTCATCATCCCTGGGCTCCAGGAAGAAGAGAGGGTGGCGGTGCAGAAACGTGGCCACCAGGTGCTGAGGGCTCTGCACGGACTGTGCATCCAGGCGGAGCAGGTGAGGACGGGGAGGCTCCCAGGCCCACGATGCCCCTGTGCAGGGTTCTGGGGTGCCTCTCAGCCCCGCGGGGCAGGGGCGGGAATAGGAGGACACCCACCTGCACTTCCACAGTGGTGGCAACAGACACAGGTTACCCCTGCCCAAGGGACAGCCTCGTCCCCAGGTGCAGACTCTCTAACTGGCCTTTCCTGATGCCCAGGCTCCAATCATCGCTGTGCTGTGCTCTGGCGGAGGGCTCCGTGCCCACATCGCCTGCCTCGGGGTCCTGAGTGAGCTGAGGCGACACGGGCTGCTGGATGTGGTCACTTACCTCGCGAGTGTCTCAGGGTCCACTTGGTGAGTTGGCTGCACTTCCGGTTGGTCAGGAGGGTGAAGAAGGTTTTCCCTTCTGATAACCAAATGTGTGCTGTCTTTTCTTTTTCTGTTTTTTTTTTAATCCATTAAGTCACAAGTTTTCAGTTTTGTAAAAATTCGATAAATTTTGCCGTGATGTATTAAAATAGGTTGGAAATAAAATTTAGATTGTATGTATTATTATTATAATTATATACAATCATTTTTATTATATAATTAGTAGATAATGTTGTGTATTATATGCTATACTAAGGTTTTTTTTTGTTTGTTTGTTTTTTTTAATGCCACGAATCTAACCCAGGGGAGCTCAACTACTGAGACATATCCCCAGCCCTTTTTATTATTTAAAGACAAGATCTCACTGAGTTGCTTAGGGCCTCACTAAGTTGCTGAGGCTGGCTTTGAACTTGAGATCCTCTCACCTCAGCCTCCTGAGTGACTGGGGTTACAGATGTGTGCCACAGCACTCAGCTCTCTTTAAGTTTTTATGCGTGTTTGACATCTGGGAAGCTGGGACTCACTGGGTTAAGTGTCAGATAATAATGATATATCTGCATGCGGTGCAGTGTGACGCTTTGATACCTGGGTGCATTGTGTGATTATCCCTCAGGATGCTTAGATCATCCACCATCTCCAATATGCATCAATTCTGCTGGTTGAGAACATTTCCAGTCCTCTCTCCTGGCTATTTTGAATGACACGATACAGTCTCGCTGCCTGGACCCCCCTGTGTGATGGAACACCAGGACTCACTCCTCTCTGGCAGTAACTCTTTCCTGTTACCAGCCTCTGCCCAGTCCCTGCCTCCCCACCCTCCCACTCTCTGGTGACCACTGTCCTGATGTTTCCTGTGCTCTTCCCCAAGCCTCCATCACCACTGGGTGTTCCACGAATTGCGTGCATTCTGACACTGTCTACCCAGAGTGGCGTGGGATCCCACCAGCAAAAGGGGCTGAGCCCCACAGGACTGGCTCCATGTCACACACCAAGTTCTGCACCACCGGGACTTCTGAGAGACTGGCTATAAATTCCCATGACCTCCTCCTTGGGTTCCACAATTTCCTAGGACAGCTCCCAGAGCTCAGGAACAACTTTGCTTCCATTTACAAGTTATTGTGAAGCAGAGAAGTTAGGAACAGCCAGAGAAAGAGGTGCACAGGGCAGGGGCTGGGGGCCGGGGAGCACCATGCCCTCCGAGCACACTCTCTCCCTGCATGTCCATGAGTTCTCCAGCCCAGGAGGTCTCTGAACCCTGTGGTTTAGGGTTTATGGAGGTTTCATCACAGAGACATGATTGATTAAATTATTGCCCATTGGGGATTGAACCCAATATCCAGCCCCTCTTGCCCCCAGCCCTGGAGGTGTGGATCTGGGCTGAAAGTTCCAAACTTTGGTCTTCCTGGTGACCAGCCCCATCCTGAAGCTGTTAGAAGCCCTGGGCCAAGAGTCATTTCATTAGAGCAGAAGGGACAACTTTGTTCTTGTCATCAGGAACTCCCAAGGGCGTTAGGGGCTCTGTGCCAGCAATAGGCCACAAACACTGAACTGCTTCCCTGGACCACAGAAGGCCTGGGACAAGCAGTGTGGTAAGTGCCTGTGATGAACCTTCACGTCCATGACTGGTTTTACGCATCAGGTGGATGAGACGAATACAGCTGCCTTTATGACAGAGCACTGCGTTAGGTCTGGGGGACTTGCTCACTCTGGAGGCCCCAGATGGCAGGGATGAAGGGGACTCAGAGCCTGCTCCTTTGCCCAGGGCAGACCTTCGTCCACCTGGGCACGTTTTCCATGTGGTAGTCGAGGCTGGACTGGATGGGGGCTGAGTGAGAGAGGAGGTTAATGACGGATGGCAAGAACCAGCGTGAAGAACAGGGACACAGAGCTCAGGGGCGAGGCTGGTCCTGCCTCTCACACCTAAGAGCCCCAGGTTCCCAGCCACAGGGCACAGGGCTTAGCTGAACTGCCCTGTGGCTACCCCCAGATAGCGCTGCTGCCCTAGGAGAGGCAACATCTCCTTCAGGGTGCAGGTGCTGCAGCCTGTGGGTGGGAGGAAGCCTTAAATTCCTGGAGCTGTCCTTTGTGAGCTGTTATGCGCCCCATGTCACCTCCTTGGGCCTTGGTTTCTGCAAATGTCAGAGAGGTTAACAGGCTTGAGGACTGTTGTAAACAAGGTGACAATGGTAAGCAATGCATCCCATAGAAACACAGCCTAAGCTGCACCTTTTATTTAAATTTTCAAGCCGGGTGCAGTGGTGCCAAGCCTATAGTCCCAGTACTAGTGAGGCTGAAGGAGAAGGATCACTTAGAGTCCAGGAGTTGGAGACCAGATTGGGCAACCCAGGGAGACCCTGTTTCAAAAAATAGTATTAAGCTGGTCATGGTAGCACACATCTGTGACACAGTGACTCTGGAGGCTAAGGCAAGAGGTTTGCAAGTTTGAGGCCAGCCTCAGCAACTTCATGAGGCCCTCTCTCAAAATAAAGATGAAAAGGACTTGGGATGTGGCTCAGTGGTAAAGGGTCCCTGGATTCAATTCCCAGGACAATAAATTAATTAATAACAATAAAATTTTCTAGTATCGTTGTTTGAAAGAGCTGTAACAAACTGTAACAGTGTGTTTTCTTTTTAACCCAACACTTCTGAGACCTTAGTGGTCTGGCACGAGGTCAGTACATACGCTAGTAAGCAGATTTTTCTTTCCTCTCTCAGACTCTCTTTGAGAGTCCTGCACAGTTTACACTCAGCACTTTCCAGTGCGGAAGCTCGAGCCCTGTTGGAAGTGACCGTGAATGTGCAGCTGAGAAGCAGTGTTCCAGACCCACCTCTTTCCAAAGGAAGCTTCCGCTTCCCAGGAACCAAGTGGAATTTAAATTGGAAAAATTAATTCAACTTGGGGCTGGGGTTGTGGCTCAGTGACAGAGCGCTTGCCCGGCACATGTGATGTACTGGGTTCAATCCTCAGCATCACATAAAAATAGATTTAAAAAGGCATCATTTCCATCTCTAACTAATATGTATATTAAAAATTTTTTAAAAAGCTAATTAAAATTAAGTACAATTGAGAATCCAATTCTTAAGTCACAGTTGTCATATTTCAAGGGCTCAAGAGCTGCGTGTGGCTGTGCTGAGCACGTTGGACAGGGCCAGGTTGGGCAGCACTCAGGAAGTAGTATACGAACAGCAAAACTATTTATTGACTGAACAAATGGATGTCAAGCCTCCTTACTAGGAATGGCCAGGTGTTCCTCCTTGGAAAAGTCTACCTATCTGGGCTCGTTCTCAGCATGATGCTCTCAGGCACGCTACAGAAGATAATGGGAAGGTGGTCGACTATATGGAAACAATCCAGTTCTACTTCACATTACCTATGTGATCTTGCAGAAGTTGCTTAATCTCTCTGTGCCTCCGTGTCTTCCTCTGTGAATTGAAGATAACCTTATTACTTTTTGTTGGTTTGTTATAAATATCTACAGATAACACCTGTGACAGTCGCCTATCAACTCTTGATAAATGTTAGTCTGAAAAACGCTATTTGGCTCTCATCAATCGCTTCTGTCTTGCTCTCATTTTCCTGTCTATAAAATGGAACTATTATCCCAGAGGCTGTTTGAAGCCTCCCTTGAGCTTTATGTTCTGCAGTCTTACTTACATCTCCCAGGAAGGGAGGCCTGGGGGCTGATGAAGGCCCTCCCATCCCTCTTGGTCCACAGTCAGGCCCTCCACACAGCCTAGCCTGCTTCCTCTATCCCCAGGGCAATGTCTTCATTCTATGCCAAGGACGGGAACTTGGAAGACATCGAGGCCGAACTGAAACGTCGGTTTGACCAGAGGGAGTGGGACTGGTATGGTAGCCTGCAGGAAGCCGTCTGGTCAGCGAAGACGTTGAAGAATTACTCTCTGACTGACTTTTGGGCCTACTTGGTCGTCTCCAAACAAACCCGAGAAGTAAGTCACCCCCAGAGGAGGACCTGGGGCTTCAGGGGTAGGACTAGGGAAGATCTTGGCCATCATGTCCCTTTACACCTTTTAAGGCTTTCAGCCTCCAGATCTGGGTGCCTAGCTCTTGCCTCAAGGCTGAAAGATATTGCTCCTGTTGCAAGTAGCAGAATCAGACTCTGATTCATTTATGCCAAGAATAAAGTAACCTGCTCTCTAGGAAAGATCCCAGGGTGTCTGAGGGCAGCAGGGACCCAAGTTGACTTTCTATCCTCTGTCCCTGGCTGAGTGCGGGCAGATTGATTTTTCAGCTTCTCCATGAACTTAGTAGAACATGTTTTCCCAGCCCCACAGCAGCCGGGTGTTCACCTCCAGAGCCTCCAACCCCGGGACTGAGCCCCCTGTTGCCTGAAGACACCACCCGGTCATCTGGAGTCAGGGCAGATGCTACCTAGTTTCCAAATGTCCATGGTACCACGGCGACCTCCATGTGGGGTGCAGTTCTCAGAGCAGGAGTGTTAGGGTGACCATGGGGTGGGAGCCCAAAATGAGGTGGTCCTCCAATGGACTCCTGTTTTTACCTGTTGGGTTGGGCTAACACTGTCCTCTTCTTAGACATTGGAGCAAGGGATGGAGAAAGCCTGCACTATGGGATGGTGGCTGAAAAGACTTGTGGGAATAGGATTCTTGCCAGAGTGTCACCTGGGGGACAGATGTGCCTGAGCAATGACAGAGGGGACCTGTTATAGAGTGAGAGTGGAGTCGGGATATTTCTCTCTCTCTCTCTCATAGTTTAATCTGCTGCTTTTAAACTTCACTGAGATGTAATTGATATACACAATATTGGACCTGCGTGCATGTTTAACATGTACATCTAGATGAGTTTGGACAATTGTATGTACTGTGACGCCATTGTCACAATTTAAGGTACAAACGTATCCATTTCCTCCTAAGACCTCTGTGCTCTGAGGTGCTGATGTCAGAGGTGCAGGTCGGGGCTCGTCATGGGCCGGTCCCTGGGATTGCACCTGCTGAACTGAGCCAGGTGCAGGAGGATCCAGGCCGCATGGCTCCACTTCCGGGAGGCCTTGGGGGACAGTCAAACTGTCATCGGCATGTTGGAAATATCAGGGGTCCTGCATCCCCGGAAGTCAATAAGGAACATTCGGGGGCTCATCAGCTCTGTCAGCAGGGCAAGATTTTTTTTCCATGTGCAGAAGGACGCACAGCAATTAAGACCAAAGCAGGCGCACAGAGCAGGCTGTCTGCTGGGCTTTGTCCCTGAGGCAAGGGCACCGGCTTGCTGCCCCTAGGGTGGGGCTGACAGCAAACTTTGGCTCCAACAGCTATTAGGAGAGAGGGCACTTGACCACTAGGCATTAGCATCCGTTGAAATGACCATTGGGTTATTTAAACAAATATATCTTTAGTTGTCCCCACCTCCTTTTGTCCCTTGTGGTGGGAAAGTCCCCTGGGTGGAGCGCCTTTTGGCACATATACCTTTAGCTCTGGGGGCCAGGTGGCCCCTTCCTTCTCACCACCTGTCTGTCAAGGTGCTGTGCGTTTTGACCCTCTGGTGTTACCTGCTTGTAACTTTCCACTCTGCTCTCCCCTCCAGCTGCCTCTCCTACATCCAAAGTCATTTTACATTTAAAGTTAAATACTGTATTTTGAAAGTGGACCATGGAGATTTTCTATTTCTCATAAACCAAGGCTGGAACAGTGGCTGCAGGATCTGGGGCAGAGGGGAGGCAGAAATGGGAGCCTGTTGCTCAAAGGATATAAAGTTTCAGTTATGTGAGGCGAGTCAGCCCTGGAGATCCACATACAGCGCCTAGGATCTGCCATTAACAGAACGGCACTGTACTCTCTGAACTCTGTTACAAGCCTGGTGTGGTGGCAGAAGCTTGTAATCACAGTGATTCTGGAGGCTGAGGCAGAAGGATGGCAAGTCAAGGCCAGCCTCAGCAACTCAACAACCGTGTCTCAAAATAACAATATAAAAAGGACTGCAGATGTGCTCGGTGGTGAAGCAGCCCTGGGTTCAATTCCCAGATACTCCCCTCCAAAGTAATATGTTATGAGGCAGACTGTTCCTCCCCCAGTGAGGGCGTTTGAGAAGTTGTGGACAAAGGCCCTGTCGCCCCTGTCCATGGCCGTTGCCCTCGTAGGTGTATGCAATGTGGGAACTGTGTGGAGGCCCCTTCAGGGATCCTACATGGGGCAAATCCTTGCTCCCACCTGGTTGCACTCCTGCTGGTCCCAAGGGATTTCCCAACTAAATGTGTGCTTTTAATTCCTGGCCACGCTTGTTGCTGGAACCCCACAAGGACAGACACAGGAAGCCTTGCGTTTGCCCCGCTGATCTTCACCTTGTAAGATGGTTAAACACCCAGGCTTTGCGGTCAGACGGTGGGTGTGGAGACCAAGCATGGCAGTCCATCCCCAGCATTGGACCTTGTGACCACACCAAGCCACCTGTACAAGGTTCAGGGGCAGGGCCAAGGCACACAGGTCAGGCTGCAGTTGATCCTCCCAGGGGCACCCAGGAAAGAGGTGCAGAAAAGATGACGCTTGTCTTTAGAGCCATCCACCGAACCAACACCTGTTGTACACTGAGAGTCGTTTGTTGAAATGGGTTTCCAAAGATGAAAGGGGAGTACGGACATTCCAGCCCAGAGTGACTGTGCAGGGAGGTCCCCATAATGGGAGGAGCCGTGAGGCCAGCCAGGCACCCTCTGCCCTCCAGTCAACCTCGGTACTTTCCCTCCAAGCTGCAGGGCTCTCACTTGTCCAGCATGAAGACGCTTGTGGACGAGGGGAGGATGCCCTACCCGATATTTGCAGCCATTGACAATGACCTCCACTCTGCCTGGCAGAAGGAAAAAAACCAGAGTAAGCCAAACATCGGAGGGAGGGGGAGGGTTGGGGGGTCCGAAGGCACAGGGTGAAATGCCAGGAAGCGCCTCGGACTTTCCCTCTGGGGAGCCCTGGAGGAGCAAGGGCTCCTAGGAGGGCAGCCAGGACGGGGCGCTCAGGGAGAGGGAGGTCCTAGAAGCCACTTGAGGGCACACGCTGGCTGGCTGTGGATCAGACAGTCCTAACAGGGGCACTGGAGGGCCCGAGCAGGGGGTGGCTCTTCCCTTTCATACTACGTCTTCCTCCTGGGACCAGGTGCTATGGCTTTCCAGAAGTTCCAATTTAGACCCTGAGATGGAGCCCTCCTGACCCAGCTCCCTGAGCAGAACACGCCTCTGTCCACGCAGCAAACATGCCTGATTTCTCCCACCCGGGCGGGGTTCCTGTGTGGGACATCTCCTGGCCTCTCCAGGCTCAGTAGTTCCCTGGGCCGCTGCTCGGTCTCTCTCCTCCCAATGTGGAGCCTGTGTTGTTTCCCCACCGAGGGATGTAGCCCGTCCTTCCAGAAGGCCCTCCAGCCCAGTCCTTCCCAAGACATCAAAACTGCCTCTCCTCCCCAGGGTCCCCGGCCCTCCTCACCACATCCTGGACAGGGTCTCACATCACCTCCTTCCATGGCTGCCTAGTGGAAGTTTCCAGAACAAAAATCTGATGGTGTGGTTTCCCTCCTTGGAGCATCCCAGTGACTCCCTGGCATGCGCAGAGAGCCCTCTGTGTCCCAGCGTCTAGACGTCCCTGCGCTCCAGCTCCCACAGCTGGGACTTGCAGCTGGATGATGGGAGTAGGGGCTTGGGAAGGACTGGCAGCAGGATGTCGTGGGCATAGGAAGCTGCCACCAGCAGAATAAGGACTCAAAGCTCTGGGGGTGGGATCCCCACCGAGTCTCTGAGGCCACGCAGTCTGGAGACTGTGTCCCGGTTGACAGTCTGTGTTTCAGAGATTTTTTTCCCCTGAGCACCTACTGTGTTTGGCTCTGTGCTGACCGCTCACCCTGTGCTTCCTCCCCAGAGACCTGGTTCGAGTTCACCCCTCACCACGCTGGCTACCCTGCGCTCAGGGCCTATGTGGCCGCCACCCACTTTGGAAGCCAATTCAAGGAGGGCAGAATGGTCAGACAAGAGCCCGAGCGAGACCTGACCTTCCTGAGAGGTCAGTACCAGGGTCCGACGGGGATGAGCAGATGATAAAGTGGAGGGGAGACGGCAGTGTCCCTCCTGAGGGTGGAGCTCTGCCCGGCGCCTGTGTTCCTGGAAGGAAAAGAAAGGGGCTTCAGGAATGTGCATTCTTCCGTCTGGGTCATCTGTGCCTCTCAGAGGCCTCCTTGATGAGACAGCAGATGACCCAGGAGAGGTGGTTTCATGGCAGGGCTCACATAAGCAGGCTGCTGTGTGTGCGAGAAACCCCTGGCCCTTGACGTTCTGAGACTGGCTTATGTCATCTAGCATGATCTTCTCCACTTGCATTTATTTACCAGCAAATGCTATTATTTCATTCTTCTCTATGGCTGAGTAAAACTCTCGTGTGTGTGTGTGTGCGTGTGTGTGTGTGTGTGTGTGTGTGTGTGTGTGTGTGTGTCACATTTTCTTTATCCACTTGTCTGTGAGTGGACGGCTGGGCTGGTTCCATGAGTTGATTATTGTGGATCATGCTGCTATGAACTTGATGTGCCGATATCACTAGAGTACTCTGGTTTTAGCCCTTTTGGATGGATACTGAGGAGTGGGAGGGCTGATCACGGGGTGGTTCCATTCCTAGTCTTTTGAGGAATCTGTACACTCCTTCCAGTGCAGTTGTACTAATTTGCAGTCTCACTAGCAATTAATATGTGGACCGTTTCCCCCACATCCTGACAGCACCTATTCTTATTTGTATTTTATTGGTTGGTCCTGGGGATTAAACCCAGGTGCTTTACCACTGAGCCACATCCCAGCCCTTTTTATTTTTTATTTGAGACAAGGTTTCTCCAAGTTACTGAGGCTGGCTTTGAACTTGCGATCTTCCTGCCTCAGCGTCCGGAGCCACAGGGATTACAGATGTGCACCACCCTATCCAATTTATTATCTGTCTTCTCGATGAGTGCCACTCCTACTAGAGCAAGTTAAAAATCTCAATGTAGTTTTGTTTGCATTTCCTGATTGCCAGGGACGTTGAACCATATATTTGTTGATCATTTGTATTTCTTCTTTTGAGAAAAGTCTGTGTAATTCTTTTATCCATTTGTGGATTGAGTTATTTGGGTTTTTCTTTTTGTGTAGAGTTTTTTGAGTTCTTGTTTTTTTTTTTTTTTAAGGTCATTTAATTTATTTTTTTAGCTCTTTTTTAAAATTGGTTGTTCAAAATATTACAAAGCTCTTGACATATCATATTTCATACATTAGATTCAAGTGGGTTATGAACTCCCATTTTTACCCCGAATACAGATTGCAGAATCACATTGGTTACACATCTACATTTTTACATAATGCCATATTTGAGTTCTTGTTTTTAAAAAATATTTTATTTTTTAGTTGTAGTTGGACACAATACCTTTATTTTACTTTTCTGTGGTGCTGAGAATCGAACCCAGAGCCTTACACGTGTTAGATGAGTGCTCTACCACTGAGCCACAGCCACAGCCCATTTTTTGAGTTCTTTATTTTTCCTGGAGATTAATGCTGTCTCTGCTCTATCTGATCTCTCCCATTCTGTGAGCTCTATTCACACTCTCAATCATTTTCTTTGCTTTGCAGCAGATTTTTAATTTGATGCTGTCCTGGTATTTGATTCTCGGTTGCAGGTCTTGAGCGTTAGGTGTCCGGTTGAGGAGGTTGGTGTCTGCACTGGTGGGTCAGGTGCTGATCCTGTGCTTCCTTCTAGCAGATGCAAGGTTTGTGCTCTAGTTCCCGGGTCTCTGATCCACTGTGACTTGACTTCTGTTGTCTCTGTAGGTTTATGGGGAAGTGCTCTAGCCAGCCTTGAAGAAATCAGGAAATTTATTTGGGGTGAGTATTTGGAGAACAGAAGGGTCAAAGCTTCAAGGTATTTTATACAAGGATTTTCACCAAACTTTTCCTACACATGGAAGATGAAAGACCTGTGTGTCATTGTCCTTGCAACTGTCTTTCTTGAAATTATTGCCATCTCCTTAGCCTTTAATCAGGGGCAGCCAGGGTGATGAGTGGCTGAGAGTGCAGGCTGCCTTGAAAGAATTGTTTTCCCAGTTTACACGTGCTGTGTGACCTCTAGAAAGTTACTCAATCTCTCTGTGCCTCAGTTTCTGCATCCATAACATGGGGTGGTAATAGGAGCAGTCATGAAGATTCAGTGAGTTTACCCTGCTCAAGCAGTGGGGACAGGGACAGGTGGATAAAAGCACTGGGAACACCTGCTCTGTCACACAGTCCTTATGATGTTCCTGAGAAGTGGATGCTACAGTCACTGCATTTTGCTGATATCCACGGAGTCACAGGCCAGGGACTTTCCTTGAGTCATTGGCCAGTGAGCATGCATGCAGGGTCCGTGGTGGTTCAGATCCAGGTCTGTACCTTGCTGTGTCTCGTGTGCTCTGATGACCCAGGAAAGCTGCTTAAGCTGTGACCCAATGTCTCCCTCCTTGAAGTGGAGACCACAGCAATTCCCAGTCTCCTACAGAAGGCGTGAGGTTTAAATGCCTAATGTGTCTGAGATGCCCAGACCAGAGCCGGACACGTAGCTGGACATGGTGGTCCCGTTGGGTGTCTATGGAAGCATCATTCCTGTTGTTAAGAACTCACATCTGAGCCACTGGCCCCTTCCCAAACACCTACTTTTGGTGTCTCCTGTGTGCCAAGCCCTGTTCTAGGTGTCCTGCTTGGATATTCCTTGACGTCTATGTTCACCACATGTTAGTTAAAGTTGAACAGAGCTGCTGTCCCCTCCTACGGCCCAGCGTTGGCCATGGCTGGGGGGTGGCTCTGAGTTCCGCGCATCTGGAGGGAGTGCTAAGCTTGCTCCCTGGCAACAGGAGAGTCCTCCGGTTGGTGTTTGCCAGTTTCCGTGGTGTAAATTGGGGATGTCAAGGCAGCGTCTGAGCTCACTGAGGGCGGAGTGGAAGGCAGCTCTGAAGAGCCGCAGCAGGGCCTCGCTGGTGGCAGGCGCTGGCAGGAAGGCCTTCCTGGGAGGCAGTCTGCACGCGTCTTGGGAGCACTGCGCAGCGCAGCTGGTGACCCTCTCCTGCCTCTGCTCTCTCGCAGACCAGCTGTCCAGCCTGAGAGAAAGGTTCTCGCTGATGTACCATCCCATGGAAGGTAAGTACCCCCCTTGTTGTGAGTCCCTGGGGACGCTGGGCATGGGACCCAGCCGCTGACCTCAGGCTTGACCAGTGCTGATCCTTCAGTGCTCGCTGTCCCCCAGGAACCAGCTCCCCGCCTGCTGTGCAGCTGGGGATGGCTCTGTGTCTGTCTCTAGAGTTCACGGCCGGGAACGGGATCCTCAGTGCAATGGTACTGGGAGGTGGGGCCCTAAGAAGTCCTTAGGTCACGAGAACTATGCCTTCACAGGCTGCTTAATGTCACTCTCCCAGGTGGCCTCGCCAGTGGGCCTGCTCTTCCCCTCTCCCTCCTGCTGTCTGCCTCCCACCATGGGATGGAGCAGCTCACGGGGTGCCGGCTTCTGGGCCTCCAGAAGGCGGGAGATGAGTTCCTGCTCTTTGTAGATGACCCAGCCTGTGGCATTCTGTGAGAGCCACACAAGACGGGTGACCACCGAAATCAAGAGGCATGTGGTCTAAGTGACGTGCTAAGGCCACAAGCCAGGAGGAGCAGAATCAGTCTAGGCCAACACCCTGGAGGCCAGCACCATGGGCACTGTCCAGTGAGCTCTGGGTGTGTCCGAGGCAGCAAGTGGGATCAGTCCGAGGTGATCGGCAAACTGAGAGGGAAGATATGTCCTATGTGTAAGAGTCACAGAAGAGAGAGGCTTGACTCCCAGGGAGAGCGCAAAGGAGCACAAGGACGTGGCCTGTGGGGGGAGAGGCCGCACTGTGGGCAGGGCATGGGGGCCATGCTGCACCAAAGCAGAAGCCCCCACCTCTCTGGGCTAAGGTGCCAAGAGCTTCTATTTTGTTCATACAGAAAAGCAGTATGGCTGGGTGTCCCTCCGGGTGTCCCTCCTGGGTGTCCCTCTTGGGCCCTCTCTGGCTGCCTCTGGCCAGATGCAGAAACCACCTCAACAAAGCCACTCAGACCTCACCGTGGCTCCAGGCTGGGCATGGGGCAGGGGTGAGGTCCCACCTGGTCCTGAGGGGCTCTGGAGCCCAGCCTGACCCTCAGGCTCTGTCCCCCCTGGAGCAAGGGACTGCGCTTCATTCTCCCACACACTCGCACCATAGGGTGGGCCCAGGAGGGGTGTGTGGGCCAGGGCTCTGGGCACCTGGGAGAACAGGGGGTGGACTGACTGCAGGTGTGACTTCAAGCAAATACGTGGGAGGAGGCGGAACTGAGCCGCCCCGCCATTGGCCCCCCCACCCCCGAGTGTCAAGGTGCTTCTGAGGGTATTTTTTTGCTCTAAACAGGGAGGGCAATTGCTGGGGCAGGCGTGGGAGTGGCGCTCCTGGATTTGGTGATGGCTTACGTCGAAGATCCTAAATCCCCCAGCATCCAGGAGAAACTCCGGGGGCTGCAGCAGGAACTGGAGGCACAGAGGAAAGGTCTGTGCACAGGGATGCGGGAGGGCTGGGTCTCTCTCCTCCTTCACCCTCATGGTCTCCTCTCACCGGGGAGGGTCGGCAGGGGGCTGAGGCGATGGGGAGCCGCACGGGAGGAGGGACCTAATGGGTGCTCTGCTCCTGCCAGTGGCCCTTGTAGAAGAGGCACCCTCGACAGTGGGAATGCTCCCTGTCACTGTGCCAGGCTGGATTCTGCATGTCTGTCTCGTTGCTGCGTTTGGTCTTCACGCCAGGCTGTGAAATGGGTGCTCAGGCTATCCCCACTTCCCACATGAGAAAACAATGGCACAGAGAGGTTGAGTGACATGTCCAGGTTCACACAGTTTGTGCTGGTGTTGGGACCCAAGCACCCGGACCCCAATGCGCATAACAGCCATCCTGCAGGTTAAGAGCCAGAAAAACTGGGCTTCGTAGGAAATCTTCCCATTTTTAAGAGCTGATAACTAATTAGCCTTTGTTTTAGGACATGGCGTGAGTTGATCATGTTGGGGATGGGGCTGGGCCCACGGATTGACGGTTGCCACAAGAGATCCCTAGAGTAGGGAATCCATAGATGGGGAAGCATGTGACAAGTGACTTTACCCCTCCGTGCCTCCTCTGTGGCAGGGATGGCGCTAGGTCCCCCTCACGGAGTGTGGTGGAGGTTGGGGAGGGGACGCATGTGCCCTGCTGAGGCGGCCTGGCTCCTGGGGCGCTCGGCCGGTGTGTGCAGCACTCCTATCTGAAGGGGGGCTCCACCTACCTTGTGGGTGAGGGGAGGATGGAAGAGGTGAAGGCTTGGGACCAAACCCCAATACTAGAGATACCAGCTTGCAAAGAAGAACAGAGGAGGGGGACAGGGAAGGAGAAGGGAAGAAGGAGCTCTCTGGGGGGCAGGGGGAGTGGTGAGGGACGCTGGGCCAGAAGGGGGTGTGGGGCAGGGGGCCGCCTAGGGCGAGGCCACCGAGAACTGCAGGCGCTATCAGGCGTCCTCAAAGGGCTGAGTGGACAGCACTGTGGCTCTCCTGTGTGACACCTCCTGGGTCTCCTGGGGCAGATGAGTGCCACCACAGCTGGATGTCTGAGATAATCCAGAGCTGGACCGAGATCTCCCTGGAAGAGCAGGAGCAGTTCCTGGAGTACCTGGCCTATTGCTTCCAGAGGCAGAAGCAGGACCCCACGTGGCAAGTGCAAACATCACTGATGGGTGAGGGTGAGTGCCGTGCCGCCAGTGCTCCCTGCTCTGTCACCCACCTCTACAGGGGCAGCTGCAGGGTCGCCAGATGTCTCCCTCTCTCCTGCTTCCTCACCGCAGCTGCCCAGTAGCACCATCTGCAGCCCAGCCACAGAGGTCTGAGGGACACCCAGGACCACTGGTCTCTGGATACAAGTCAGCTCGGGTGGCCTTTGCAAAGGCCCACGGTCTGGGTGGCTCCAGCAGCAGACGCCCATTTTCTCACAGTCCTGGAGGCTGGAGTCCTAGATCAAGACGCCGGCAGGGTGGCTTCTCCCAGGTCCCTCTCCTAGGCCTGCTCACTGTGTCGTGTGGCCCTGCTTTTCACATGTCCCTGGTGTCCCTTCCCGTCAATGAGGATACATGTCCTCCTGGATGAGCGATCCCCTTACCACCTCATTTGGCCCAATCTTCTTCCTTAAGGCCCTGTCTCCATATACAGGGCTTCAGCGTAGACTTTGGGGAGTGGGGACAAAATCCATCTCATAACCCTCACCCTGGCTCTCTCCGTTTCTCCCTCTAGTTGCACTTTGGGACTATTTTGTTTTTCTGCTTAAAACTGCTATATGCTGCTCCAAGTGGGAATGGGGGACCACCTACAACTTCCTGCATAAATACGGTGAGAAAGCCCCTGTTCTGTCTCCTTGATGCCTATGGGGATGGGATGGGGAGGGACAGGGACTAGGAAATCCCAGCTCATCCTTCCCCCGGGGCCGGGGAGAGGCTGGCAGGGCTGGCTGGTCTGAAGCGAGGAACTTCCCCAGGGTGGTGGTCCATGGTGAGGGACCTGTGGCCTGGTGGTTGCATGGAGACATTGTGAAGTCCTTGTCCCTGAGAGCTGATGGTTTTCTCTGGCTCTGAAAAGACACAAACAGCAACATCTTTATTCTTTGTTGGTCAGGCATAGGATCTGGCTGGCATGGACTGTGCTTTCCCAGGCTGAGCCCTACCATGTGGGTAGAAAGAACTCTGGCCCAGAGATGGCTCTGTAAGACTTCAGAAGCTTCTGCTCTTATAACTGATGAACATCCTTTCCCAGGGCATTGCTGCCCCTGCTCCTGGGAAAGGTCCCCACTCTTGTGATAAGACAACAGTGGGAATCTTTGTGTTCTGGACACTGTTGCCTTTGTGCAAATCAAGAAGGTGCCTTCTTCAGGAAAGGAAGGTCCAAATTGTGCCCTCCTTGGTCATTGCTGTGTGTTGTCACGACCCCCTTGCCCGCAAGGAAGACGCAACTCAGGAATCTTTTTTTAGCAGTTTATTTAGGCCCTTGACATTTTTCTAATAATTTTTTTAATCCCCGTAATAATCATTGGATGCCCCTCCCAGCCTTAATAAAGCACCACAAACCCCAATGCGAAGCTGCCACGTGGACCCTTCTCACAGGGTGCTAGAAAACGACATGCCAACTTTTTCTGATAAGGAGTTGACAATACGCCAACTCTCTCTGATATGGAGTTGTCCTTCACAGACCACAGCGGAGCCAGCGCCATCATGTAATGGCGACCACAGTCCGCAGGAACGGCTCACCACAGCTCCCCCTTTTTATTTCACTAAGACAATACAGGCGAGAGTAGAGGTCCTATCCCACTGTGCAGAAGTGGCTGTATAGTATGGTCCAGCCCTAGGGGGCGCCTTTCCCAGATCTGACACCATATCAGCCGACGCCTTTTTTTGTGGGGCGGGGCGGAGACACGTCAAACCCGCATGCAATAGGACATGTTCCCCTTGAGGTCCCTCTTCTCAATGGATCACTCAAGTGCAGTGCCTTGCCTCGCATCCTGTATCGTGACGATGGTGAGTAAGAGGGAATAGCTGAGGTTGAACTGTGGCTGTCTAGAAGTACAACTACAAACAAGTTGGCAGCACCCTGAAAGAAAGGCACGGACGTTAAAGTGACAGATAAAGACCAGTGTGGAAACCCTTCTGCGTGCAATGGCAACAAAACCTGCAGAGTGCAAGGGCTTTCCAGCACTAAAAGAAAGACAAAAGAAGGACATGTCAAACCCAGTGCAATGTTATAATAACTTGGGGCGCAACGACCATGTCAAAGGCACTAGTGTAGAAACCCATCTGCGTGCAATGGTAGTAAGACTGGCAGAGTGCAAGGGCTTTCTGACACTAAGAGAATAACGAGGAAAGACATGTCAATCCCAGTGCAATGTTATAATAACTTGGGGTGCAATGACCATGTCAAAGATTTACTGTTTAAGATGCGAAAGCCAGACTTGAGGTGAGTTGTCAATTTCTAAAGTAGCAAGAGCTTGTATGATCATAGCCTTATCGTGAGCACTACGAGCTTTAAGGCGACAGAGAAACCACAAACAGAGGAACATACCAAAACAACACAGTGCACCAAAAATGCCTACTCCCACCCACTCCTTAAAAAAGGAAAAGGCAGAAGATATCCAATTGGTGAATTGACCCAGAGTCATGGGATTGACACGGGTACTATTCAAGACAGCTATCTGGGTTAGTTGAGACTGGATCATGTCTTTTGCTTCCATGGACCAATTTCCGGCCAGATATCCACCAATGATGTGGGAAGCATTTCTGGAATCATTAAATCTGACAGAGGTTATACATAAATGTGCACGTTGGTCAATGTAGCCTAAAAGTACTAGGTTAGCCAATTCCTCTACCTGAGCTTGAAGATAATCTATTCTTTGGTTGGTAGCTAAAATCCCTGACAAAATATGTTGATTAATCGCATTTTGCGATT